GGCCGGGCAGCACCCACTTTACAGTCACACTGTCACCTGCCATGTTCAAATGCATTTATAAATTTGACATTTTGTGGCTTTGTATTATTTTGGTTATATTTACTTTCACTGCCATTTTAGTTTATAGTTAGGGAAGAACTCTAAGCTGAGGGAATCTATTCTCAGGTTCTGGTGGGTTGATCGTTAAGAAACATCATAATTTAAACCCTGCGGATGAAATGCATTTGGTGGTGAATAAAAATCACCTAGGGGTGCAGAGTCCAGGCTTCCCTCAGACACTGTGCTCGCCGGGCCCGGAAGATGAACAGATGATGAATGTGGGAATTTTTTCTGTGAAAGGGTCTGTGTCTTGCTCACCATGATGGAACATCACCATTATGCTGTTTCTAAGCAGAAGGAGAAAGCGCAACACGTTCTTTGAAGCTGCAGGTGTGGGAGCCAGCTCCGTGAGGAATGGCACCAACTGGAAGTAAAATCCTTGTTCCTTCTGTGGTGTCCAAAGCACTAACTTATAGCGCCAGATCCCTGTGGAAATCTTCGCGCGTCTGTAGCACGTTTTCTGTTAAATACATGATAAAGTCCACTTAGTAAAGAATCCCACCTGCACCTTAAGCAGTTTCGCTCAGTGGATAGAGCGTCCGCCTGCGGACTGAAGGGTCCCAGGTTCGATTCCAGTCAAAGGCATGTACCTTGGTGCAGGAGGCAGCTGATCGATGTTTCTCACTCTATCCACGTCCCCCAGTGAAAAAGGCCAAATTACTGGACGCAGGGCCGGTGCACGTGTCTGCAGACTCCGGTCATTGGAAAGCGACCCTGCCTTCCTCCCACTCCTTGACTTCCCCCGGCCTCTCTGTGTGCTGGTCACCACCGTCCACTCCAGGGTCCTGTGTCCAGGGTTATGGTGGGTGTGTGTCTTCAGACGAAGCCCCCTCCCTCCCACAAGCCAAGCCATCCCGTGGGCCCCTCGGGGGGATTCTGGGTGAGCGCCGAAGGGTTGTCGTTTGAAGATGGATGTTCTGTTATAAATCCCACAGGCAGTGCTAGCCAGGAAAGCAGGTTTGGGTTGGTTGGTGGAGGATCGCAGTGCGTTCCAGTCTTTATGGGAAAAGCCCAGTGCCAAAACCTGGCAGGCAGGGTTTGAGCGCACAGAGGAGCTGGGAGTGGGACTGGAATGCAGGATTAGGTACAATCCGATGCTCTGGAGGCCTGCGATCTCATGGGCTGTCCCAGCCATGTGACCTTTCCCGGCATCTCCATTCCCTAATGAAACATCTGTGACATCTGCCATTGCATTTATCTTTCGCATTTCCTTCCCGGCCATTGTTTCGCATACTCTGCTACTTCATTAGTAATGATTTTCCTGACAGTTCCCTTAAACGTCCTCTGCATCCAGGTGGGGGAAGATGGATTTCTAACTAATCTTTTCTGGCACAAACATGTATCACGCAGGAGGCTACCTCTTCTCTCTGTTTTCCATTTGTTTTCCTCGGTGTTATCTGACGTCAGCTTGTCAGGACAAATTTCAGTGGCGAGGGAGCAATAATTGCCCCGTGATATGGAAAGATGGGTAAGGATCGTTTTTTAATTCAGTGGACAGATGCTTCACTTCCTGCGTCTGAAATATTTAGCCCGGCGCCGCCGCCTCCGGCAGACAGGCTGTGGACATGACCGTGGACCCTCCGGAAGCGGGCTCTGCACCCAGTAACGTGGGCGTGCTGGCTTCTCAGCGTTGCCCCCCCCGAGGCAGTGCCCACGGCCCCTCCTGTGATGCTGACCTTGTCCCCCCGCCCGCACCCTCTCTCTGACCCTCACTAGAACCCTCTCAGGCTGTGCCTGCCCCCCTCCTGGTGAAAGGGAGCTTGCAGTGGCTTGACTCTTTTTAAAAAACCCATTTCGAAACCCACGTGGAGACCAGCGTGACCAACTCTCCAGAACCCCAGGCCCAGTACGCACCACGGCCATGGACGCGGGACTGGGCCATCGCCATTTCCTCCCCAAGCGGCGGAGGCTCCACGGGGATTACAGCGCCAGGAACCTGCGCCCACACAGGTGGGGAGGGTGAGCTGCTGCGGCTGCAGATGGACCTGAGTCTGAGCTCCGGAGGGTGGCGGCGGCTTTCCTGGTGTCACCCCCTCTGTGGCTCTAGTTTGCCTGTCAATCAGAGCGTCACCCTTCTGTGCGTCCCTGCTGCTCTGTGTCTTTTTTTTTTTCTTTTTTCTTGTTTGTGGAACCTAGGGAGAGCATGCTTTTTATTTATTTTATTTTTAAAAATATATTTTATTGATTTTTTTACAAGAGAGGAAGGCAGAGGGATAGAGAGAGAGAAACATCGATGAGAGAGAAACATTGACCAGCTGCCTCCTGCACACTCCCTAGTGGGGATGTGCCCGCAACCAAAGTACATGCCCTTGACTGGAATCGAACCTGGGACCTTTCAGTCCACAGGCTGACGCCCTATCCACTGAGCCAAACCGGTTTGGCATGGAGAGCATGCTTTTTAAATTTTTTATTTCAAAGTGGAGAAGTTTTCCTTCTTTCGCCATCCTTTGTGTGTGTGTGTGTGTGTGTGTGTGTGTGTGAGAGAGAGAGAGAGAGAGAGAGAGAGAGAGGGAGAGGGAGAGGGAGAGAGAGAGATGGATCCCAGTTAGTCACAATTCTTTTAAAAACATCTATACAGGCACAAGGCACGTAACGTCAAAGGGAAGGACGCAGGCCGGACAGGTGCCCTCCTTCCTGTTGCGGAAAACGGGGGATGCTGTGCGTGACTTTTCAGGATGGAGGTTGGCCGGTGTGGGAGTCAGAAACCTAGATTTGACCTCTGCGGCCCTCGGAGACTGGCTTGTGTGTCCTGTCCTGTAAAAGGGAGAGGCTGCCTGAGAGGTTTCTACAGTGGCCTCGGCTCTGGCCTTCGGCACGTTGTGTGATGACCATGATAAACACGGCATGCGGCTCAGGAGGACCCGCCGCGGGGCAGCGTGGAGAGGCGGGCGGCTGGCCGGGCAGGTGAGTGGCCGTGCCCGGGGGCCGCTCTGGGAGGGTGTCTCCGGCCCTGGCCCTGCTCCACGGCGGACAAGGGCACCGTTCGCGCCAGAGGAGGAGATTTCTCTTCGCCTGAGCCAGAGATTGGCTGCTATTATCAGACACTAATGGCCCTGATAAGGGTAATCAGATAGCCTGCAGAGCGGGCTCCGCGCTAAGTAACCCGCGCCCTCCCCGCAGGAGACGGGCAGCGGGACGTGCTGGGATGGATTCTGTTCTCTGTAAATCTTTAATCAGCTCAAAAATTTTCATGAACAATTTACCCCTTCCTCCCTCCTCCACCCTTTTACTTGGCTTCTTTTGACCTTGACCTGAAGCGGAAATGAGACCACACACACACACACACACACACACACACGTATATATGTACAGTATATGTGTACACATATATGCATACATATGCATATGCAACATATACATGAAACCTATCTGTGAAATAATGATCAATTGCTAAGGGAAATTTGCATAAATCACAGACTGTTCACGGCTGTGGAGTGTGAGGCTGTGTAGATGAGCTTTCCTCAGCCCAGCATGTATGTTTTGTAAAACTGAACCTCAGGATTTTAAATATCCAGTTTCCGTGTGCGTTCACATCTCTGTGGCCGTGAGGGGTGATGGCCCAGCCAGAGGGACCCTCTGACCTCAGGGGGGTGGACGCTGACATTTCCGTGTTCCCCCGATGGCGATGCCTCCTGCCTTCCCAGTGGCCGGGACCCCACGCCCGCCTGTCCCTGGGATGGGGATGTCTCTCGGACACCGAAGCCGCCACCCACCCTCACCGCACGCCCTCTGCTGGACTCACGTCACGGTGCGTGGCTGTCAGGACGTTTTCTCCCCCGGATGTTCCGCCAGCTTCAGCTCTGGGCAGCGTCCCTCCTGGCCAGCCGATGCGGAGACCAGGGAGTCCCTGGGACCAGACACGGACGTGGAGCGGACTCTGCGGCACTTGCATTAGGACCACGGGCGGAGCGGGTTTGGGCAGGAGACCCCCCAAAGTGCAGGCTTGACGTCCCCTCTGCCACGATGTGACCGCCACCGGGAACGCCCGTCCCGGCTGAGCGTTCGCGTGGGAGCAGCGTCCCCAGGCCCCCAGGCCCCCAGGCCCCCAGGCCCCCAGGCGGCGGCGTTCCTGAGGGCCAGCTGGCAGCCGCCGGGAGGAGGGAGCCGGGGACGCGGGAAGAGAGTGTTTAAGCACAAAAGGGAAACGGCGGCTGAGGCGCCCGAGCTCTGTAACAACTTGGCTTCACGCTCAGAGGCTTAATTTCAAGAGACATTGATCCCCGATGGCGGTGGTAATGCTCTGATAAGTCCCGCCCGTGCTTCGTGCTAAGGCGGAGTTAATCAGGGCTCCGAGGCCTGTGATGCGCTGGAGCAAGCACACTCCGGTGCCAGCGAGGGCTCCCGGGGGGAGGAGGGGAGGCGGGAGGGGGCACCTCTCCGGGCCCTATGCTCATCATCTTTAAACGAAGGGCAATGCCTGCTTTGTCAGCTTCACAAAGTGCTTGTGAGGATCGAATGGGATCATGGCTGTGGAAGTGCTGGATGAGATTGTGGTGATCTGCCCTAGCTGGTGTGGCTCAGTGGATAGAGCGTCGGCCTGCAGATTCAACAGTCCCAGATTTGATTCCAGTCAAGGGCATGTACTTGGTTGCGGGCACATCTCCAGTGGGGACTGTGCAGGAGGCAGCTGATCGATGTTTTCCTCTCATCGATGTTTCTAGCTCTCTATCCTTCTCTCCCTTCCTCTCTGTAAAAAAAAAAAAATCAATAAAATATATTAAAAAAAACACACGATTGTGGCGATCTGTGAGCTGGCCATTGTTTCGTGGTAGATGTAGTGTTTGAAAGTCAGAGCAGGGAGCCAAAGCTAACATCTGCCGAGAGACACGCAGGCAGGCCTTTCCTGTGTGTAGTCATGTGGAGGGCGGGGCCTGATCTGACTCACAGCATCTCTGATCCATGTGTTATTGAGCCAGAGACACATAAATCCACACTGAAGCAGCCACGGGGGAATGTGAACAGGAGACCGGAGGAGACTGTGGGGTGAGGTGTTTGTAACGGGAGCTCTCTCAGGTGTGGGTAACGCTGTGGGTGGAGCCGCATCACAGGCTGAAACGAGGGACAAGAGCTCGCGTGCCGAGTGACTGAGAGAGAAAAGCCTTCTTGGTCCGGTTGGCCTCTTTGTTGAGGTTCCGCGGGTGCTGGGTACCTGGGCAGTGGCTGGAGTCCCTGGCTGGAGCTGGACATCCCCAGGAAGGTGGGCGGTCACCTCTCATCATCTCATGGTCTGCTCACGCACGTGTATGAGCAAAGTGTACCCCTGCACCACCCAGTACGCATAGTTAAGAGTACAGATCATGTATTTTGAAAAAGTGAACTGTCTACTAATATGTCTTAAGTATATTTATGTCATCCTACATAATAAAATAGTAATATGAAAATTGACCATCGCTCCAACACACAAGATGGCTGCCCCCATGTGGTCAAAGATGTCTGCCTCCATGTGGACACAAGAGGGCCACCACAAGATGGCCAGCAGGAGAGGTTAGTTGGGAGGAATCAGGCCTGCTAGGGAGGGCAGTTAGGGGTGACCAGGTCAGTAGGGGAGGGCAGTTAGGGGTGACCAGGCTGGCAGAGGAGGGAAGTTGGGGGCAACCAGGCTGGCAGGGGAGCAGTTAGGTATCAATCAGGCTGGTAGGGGAGTGGTTAGGGGTGATCAGGCTGCCAGGCAGAAGTGGTTAGGGGCAATTAGGAAGGCAGGCAGGCAGATGGGAGCCAGCAGTCCTAGATTGTGAGAGGGATGTCTGACTGCCCATTTAGGCCCAATCCCACTTAGGATTGTGCCTAAATGGGGAAACAGACATCTCTCGAGGGGTCCCAGATTGGAGAGGGTGCAATCTGGGCTGAGGGACACCCCTCTACCCACCCCTGCAGAATTTCGTGCACCGTGCCTCTAGTAATAAAATACTAAAGAAACGATTCACATGGTTCTAGCCCTCAAAACCTCTAAAAATCTCTGCTTGACGATGGTACAAGGAAGCAGGCCATCTGCTGAGGGAGCAGCAATGGAAGATGCCTAAGCAGCACCTCTTTGACCCGAAGTCTGAGCCATCCAGCTCCATCCGGATTGGTGTTTGGCTGCTGGAAATGCTTGGCAGGGTGGAGTGTTGTGGTTTCATTTGATCTCTCGTCATATTAGGCTCCTGATTCCTGGCCCCCCGCCCCCGCCGTCCCGAACTATAGAGCCTCAGATTTGGTGGGCCCCACCCGGATTCCAGCACTGACTGGGCTTTTGTGTTCCGCTCAGAGCGGGAGATTGTTTGGACAAATAATTCATACCTCTGATGGGAAGGGAAGGGTGTTTCAGGAAGGCGATGATCTGTTCGTGTGCCAGGTATGGGGGCCCAGGCCCCCGTGTACCGTGCATTAGCCTGTCCATTAGGGGAGCTGCCCTTTATGGGATGGCAGCTAGCTGTTGGTTGGAAGACTAAAAGTGGCTCTAAATTTTTCACAGCTGTGGCAGGAGAGAGAGGAGATGACACAGGCCGTGAGCGGCTGGAGTGGTGAGCAGTGACCGATCCCATTCTCGCCCAGCCATCTCCTAAGAACCACCCGTTTCTTCCATCCCTCTGGCCAGGCTGGCCCAGGCATGAGGTAAGGTGGGCGGGGCCTCCCTGTTAAGACAGAAGGGCCTTAGAATGCCTCTCTTCTACATTCTCACTCTCTTTTCCTTGCATGTCTCCACAGATATAGAGACATCAGCACAGAGGTGGGTGGGAGGGAGGGCAGAGAGGGCCCTAGGCAGGTGAAGGTAGCATACCTCCACAGAGAGATGCCTCAAAGAGGGTCTGGGCTTCTCATGGCCAACGAGGACATTGGTTAGGTCCGTGGTCGACAAACCACGGCTCATGAGCCACACGCGGCTCTTTGGCCCCTTGAGTGTGGCTCTTCACAGAATACCATGTGCGGGTACGCACGTACAGTGCGATTAAAACTTGGTGGCCCATGCGAGGAAGTTGGTTTTCGGCCTGGGCGAGTCTATTTTGAAGAAGTGGCGTTAGAACACTCAAGGGGCCAAAGAGCCGCATGTGGCTCGCGAGCCGTGGTTTGCCGACCCCTGGGTTCGGCGGTTGTGGAGGGCTCCGAGAAGGGCAGGTAGCGTGGAGATGGGAAGGAGTTGGAAATTAGGACAAACATCACCCAGTTCATGATGTACATAGGCCAAGGCCTTTTCACATTTTTTCCTTTTAAACCAGAAGAGCCACTGACAAGCTCTCCGGAGTCCTTGTGCTCCCAGAATAAAGGGCTGGCGGGCCCGGGAGACGGCGACTTTCCATAGGGCGCGGTGGGTCCCAGCACGCACACTCCTGCACCAGATCGGCCTGTGCACCACCACAGCTCCTTCTCTCTCTCCATCTCCCTCGCTGTAGCGATTGGTCTTGGCGGTGCTTGGAAGCAGTTTGCGCAGTGATCGTATCGAGCACCTTTCTGCAAACAGGACGATCTATTCTACAGCGGCTGCTTTCCAGTGTTTTAACAATAAGTCCTTTTTCTCTTTGTTAGCGGAAAGCTTATTTTGACAGGAGGTGGGGGGTTGTGAATTGATATTATCCTAGCGAAATGCAAATAATTCATGACACGCATGTCTGAATCACGAGGACGAAGCTGATCGGCACACGGTTCTGGTCCGTCCCAGCGGCTTTGTCCGGACGGCGGTCTGTGTGAGCGAAGCGGTTCGATGGAATGTATAAACGGGAAATGATCGTTTCAATGCTGTCAGCCTGGTTTGTCTAAAAGAAGCGGTTCTTTACAAAGTGAGATGTTCTTTGGGCCTGAGGAGGAAATAAACAACATTTAAAAGTTACCCCCAGCCGAAACTGGTTTGGCTCAGTGGATAGAGCGTTGGCCTGCGGACTGAAAGGTCCCAGGTTCGATTCCAGTCAAGGGCATGTACCTTGGTTGCGGGCACATCCCCAGTAGGGGGTGTGCAAGAGGCAGCTGATCGATGATCTCTCTCTTCGATGTTTCTAGCTCTCTGTCCCGCTCTCATCCTCTCTGTAAAAAATCAATAAAATGTATTAAAAAAAGTTCCCCCTCAAATCCAACAAGTCCAGCTGTTTGCGGTTTCCTTCGATCCCAGGCTCTTCTATCAGTAATTAAAAATTTGGAGGCTGTTAATGAGCATGAGGTCAGCATTATATCACTTGTTTCAAAGGAGGGAAGGGGGACTTCTTCCCTTGGGTAGGATGTAGAAAGTCTTGGCCAATGCTCTTGCTATAATAAATTAAAAAACAACAACACACCTATGAATTTATAAATTTACAAAACAAACAAACAAACAAAAAAAAAAAAAAACCACACCTATTTTTATAGGCACCAGAATGCTAGGAGAGGAATTAGGACTAACTAACCTAAACTCTCAGGAGAGAAACCTCCTAGGGTTACCTGGTGGTTGGTTAGCCGTTCTCCACCCCACTGGCATTTTCCAATTCTGGGTGTAAGGTGAGAAAACAAGGACCCTTCCTGGGAGGAGAGAGCCTGCACCAAACACATGGCCAGGGGCCCCACGAGGACACCTTTACTTTGGAGCTGCCTTGTGTGGAGGATAGAGAGCTAATTTGAAAACCTCCCTAGGTCAAAATGGGAACTCTCAGAATCTTCCAGGACCATGAAGACCAAGGCTCTGGCAGGATCTCAATAAAAGGCTAGGACGTCCGTGCCATGGCAATAAAGGAACAGCAGAAGCATAATGAAGCTTGCTAAACCCAGTCCATTTCCATCTCAACACCTTATTGGATTGAAGTGATCCGTCCTTCACAGTGTCTACCTAGGAGAGGAGAGAGAAGTTCTCTCTGATGGAAAGTAGAACCATCTAGGGTCAGTATCTTTTTACATTTTTTTTGTCTAGTAAACAATTAAAAAATTACAATCATTCAAATAGGTAAGACAGCATGACTGATAATCAAGGAAAACAACACATAATAAAGAAGACCCATGGATGACCAGTTATTGGAATTAGCAGCCACGGAGTTAAAATATGCATGATTCATGTGAGCAAAATAGAGGAAAAATGAATAAGAGAGATAAAAGGATGGGTAATTGCACCAAATAATTGAAATCTATAAAGAATCAAATAGATATCCTAAAGTGGGAAAATACAAGGAGGAGCAAACGTATGTTTACAATTGTGAGTATGCCAAACACAGAGTTTATTCTTATATTTATTAAATGATTTTCTATATGAACAACTGTAAACCTACTTTTGCCTAGCCCTGTACAATATCTGAAATGAAGAATATATGGAGCTTAATAGTTGACTGGAAATAGCCGTACATAAGATTAGCGAATTGGAAGGCAAGTCCACAGCACTTAAGTTCTGACATAACGGTAGATATGGGAGACCCACATGGAATATGATAAAAGGTCTGATATACACAGACGCCCAGGGTGAATGGAGGAAGAGATATTTTCCAATGATAATGGCTGAGAGTTTCACCCAACCGAATCCTTAGATTCAAGGAACCTCCAGCAATGGCAACACAAAGAGAGCCGTGGTGGGCACGTCACAGTAGAACAGTGAAGACCAAAGTGCAAAGTTACATCTTGAAAACAGCAGGAGAAAGATATTACTGTTAAAAGAGCCACCTCTGCTCCCTGGCTGCAGGGAAAGCTTGGAAGTCGAGCTTGTGTTGAGGGGAAGCAGTATCTAAAGGAGGAACTATGGACAGCGAGGCTCCCGGGGGCCGCAGCGCGGGGTCTCAGGGCAGCAACAACGCTGAGGCTGGGAGCCCAGGCCTGTTGGCTGCTGAGCACAAGTGCTGCTCTGAACTGTCTGTGCTTCACTCGGTCCCTCCTGGCTCTCTGTGAGACACCCGGTACATAAGACTGTGGGAGGAGGCCGGTACTTCTGATCGGAGCCTCAGGACGGCCAGGCCAGGGTGTGAGAGAGAGAGGGCGCAGGAAGGCACTGTTCTGTGGTGGTGACGCCCTTGCTGTGCTCCGGCCACCAGCCCGGGAGCTGTCCCGTAGACTTCCACGTCGGTTGACTTGCAGCTCCTCCATCTCACGCACCTTCCCTTCCCATCAGCGGGCTGTGTGTGAACAGGGTTCAATAGACAAAAATTAAAAGAAAAATCTAGCTACCCAAGAGTTAACAAGTGGACTGAGGGATAATGCATTCTTTATGTTCAATAGTAAAACAAAGCCCATTCCAGATTTAAAAAAATATACGTGTGGTCCTAGCTGGTTTGGCTCAGTGGGAAGAGCGTCGGCCTGAAGACTGAAGGGTCCCAGGTTTGATTCTGGTCAAGAGCACAGGCCTGGATTGCTGACTTGATCCCCAGTAGGGGGCGTGCAGGAGGCAGCCGATCATCCCCAGTTGGTTGCAGGCACATCCCCAGAAGGAGCTGTGCAGGAGGCAGCTGATGGATGTTTCTCTCTCATCAATGTTTCTAACTTCTATCCTTCTTTCCTCTCGGTAAAAAAAGAAAATAAAAATAAAAAAAATCAACAAAATATATTAAAAAAATAAACCATTGGTTATTTGTCAGTTTCTCAACAAATATACTTATTATCATAATGATCAACTTAGTGTGTTCCATGTCAGACCTATATATTCGTGTTTTTTTTTATTCCTATCTGGTTGCCTAATGGCATAATATGCTGCTTTTCGTAGACATTGATACCAAACCAATAACAGCTGTCAATTAAAAGAGGTTTTCTGAGATGAAAGCATAAAAAAATCATTGGAGGAATAGTTACCATAAACTGGTTCTCTGGGTTTAATTCATGGCGAGAGTGTCTCTGATCTGTAATATACCAGACGCATGCTTTTTCTCTCAGGGTCAGTCTCAGAAGGCTGTGGAAGGCGTTGTCTTGAATGAACTTCTTTCAATAGGGAAGTCTCTCTGCCCTCTACTTTCTTTTATTTTCTTACTAGAGGCCCGGTGCATGAAATTCGTGTAAGAGCAGGCCTTCCATCCCCTGGCTGCTGGCACCGGCTTCCCTCCGGCACCCGGACCCGGGCTTCCTACAGCCTCGGCTTCGTCTGGAAGGTTGCCTGGAAGGACGGCTGGTGGAATTAGCATATTATGCTTTTATTATTATGGATTATTATAGGGTTTTGGTTGGGTTGAACAAGAGAGACAGGGATTGAATAATTGTTATTGTCACGCATTTCTAGGGCACCGAGAGCAGAGCTTGTTTCAGTCAGAGGAGTAGACTGCCTGAGGCCCTCTTCATCCCATCCTTCAGCCCTGTCCGCGGGCAGAGAAGTGAGCACATGTCAATCAGAAGCAAGCACCAGCCCGTCAATGCGTCTGACCGTGAAAGTCTCTGTTCTTCCGACGGCTGCCTGATCTACAGGGTTCTCTGAGCGGCACATCATTCCCATGCCCCTCATGGTTCAACGTCCTGAGCATCGCTAACACATTGTTTTTACCTAAAATAATTCTCAACTGTGCAACTTGAAAGTGATTATTTTAATCAAGATTAAAAAAAAAAACAAACCCAAAACTTTTCATTGGTTTGTCCAGAGTGGATCAGTGGTTGAGTGCCGACCCATGAACCAGGAGGTCTGGTTCGATTCCTGGTCAGGATACATGCCTTGGTTATGGGCCCGATTCCCAGTGTGGGGTGTGCAGGAGGCAGCTGATCCATGATTCTCTCCCATCATTGATGGTTCTCTCTCTCTCTCCCTCTCCCTTCCTCTCTGAAGTCAATAAAAATACATTAAAAAAAAAAAAAACAACCAAAAAATTAAAAAAATATTTTATTGATTTTTTTACAGGGAGAGGGATAGAGCGTTAGAAACATCGATGAGAGAGAAACATGGATCAGCTGCCTCCTGCATACCTACTACTGGGGATGTGCCCACAAGCAAGGTGCATGCCCTTGACCGGAATTGAACATGAGACCTTTCAGTCTACAGGTCTACGCTCTATCGACCCAGCCAAACCGGGTAGGGCCCATAAAACTTTTTATTGAAGTGGCGTATAGGCACAGACAAGCACCCACATTACAAGTCTACCATGACTGTTAGAAGACCAGTGAGTTTTCCTAAAATGACCACCAGTGTAACCAACTCTAGATCAAGGCATAGAGCCTCAGCCACACCCACACAACCTCCTGGAGCCACGGTTCAGCCTCCCCATGGCCTCTCCCATGCATCCCCACGACCCTGACTTTCAGCAGCAGGTTTGCGTGTTCTGTGTCTGTCCTGTCTGTACATGGAGTCACACAGCGCAGATTGCTTTGTGCTGGCTGCTTTTGCTCAGCATTACAGACGTGAGGCCCTCTCGCTGCGCGGGTGTCTGGTGGCTACTCCTGGGGGCTGTCTGCTCTGTGGCCGATGGCAGCACTGGTTCCCAGAGCTTGGCTGCTGAAGGCGGTGCTGTGAGCATCTGTGATGCTTTCCCGTGGCCACGCGGCCGCATGGCTGTCCGTGGTGTCCGGGAGGCCGTCTGGCCGCAGGGCGGGCCTATGCTCAGCGTTAGCCGGCGGCTCTCCGGTCTCCACCGGGATCAGAGCCACGTGAGGGCTCGTTAACCCCCAGGCCCCTGGCCACACGGAGAGTCCCTGGTTCAGCACGGCCGGGTGTGGCCCAAGCATCTGCCCTTCTGGCAAGTTCCAGGTGATGGGGCGGCGGCAGCTGGGCCAGGAACCGCACTTTGGAAACGTCTGCTTAGCAGATACCCCTGCCAAGCAGCTTCCAACGTTTCTGTGCCCGTTTACCATCCCGCCAGCGGAGGAGGAGGGACCAGGGACACGTGTGGTACCAACCTCCTCCTCGCACACCGTCTTGGTCTTCTCTGTGAAGTGTCTATCCACGTTCATTGCTCTTTTTTAAAAAAGGGAGATGTGTACTTATAATAGGATTTTTTAGAGAGAGAGAAAGAGGGAGGGAGAAGAGATGGGGACGGGTGAAGGAAAGCATCTGTTTGTTGTTCCTCTTATTTATGCGTCATTGTTTACCGCTTGCCTGTGCCCTGCCTGGTGACGGAGCACACAACCTTGGTACGCCAAGGATGAGCTGCGTGGCCAGGGCCTTTTCCTCAGTTCTCTTTTTATTGTGTTGTCTTCCTTTGTCTTCTTTTAAAAAATAAATACATTTTTATTGATTTCAGAGAGGAAGGGAGAGGGAGAGAGAGATAGAAACATCAATGGTGAGAGAGAATCATGGATCAGCTGCCTCCTGCATGCCCCCTGCTGGGGATCGAGCCCGCAACCTGGGCCTGGGCCCTGACCGGGAATCGAACCGTGACCTCCTGGTTCATAGGTCGACACTCAACCACTGAGCCACTGAGAATCAGTTCTTTGCTGGTGTTTGTAGGGCAAGCATCTTGTCCATCCTGTAGGTGGCCTTTTCACTCTCTTCAATGTGGTGAGGAGAAATTTATGATTTTAATGTGATCTAACTCACCTTTTCTATTTTAAGGTTAGTGTTTTTTTGTGTTACATAAGGACTCTGCCTATTCCAGTGCCATGAAGATGTTCTCATATCTTTTCAGAAGGATTTACTCTCCCCTCATATTTAAAGGAAAAACTCATCTGGAATTGATTTCTGTGTTTTGCTGAGTTTCATGTACTAATCTTCCTTAAGGCCCTGTTTAAAATTCACCTCTCAGTACTGGTTTCCAGTACTTTGTAAGAAGATCAATGCCATACAGCAACCTTCAGAGAATGCAAGGGATTCCCCCCCGCCCTGCAATTGTATTGAAAGCAATACTTCACGTGTGCATGCCCCGTGTTCATTCAGGGCAGGCCTGCTTTCGACGGGCCACATTTAAGGCAGCGATTGAAACTTTTAAGTAACACAAAGCACCTTTTTTCATCTTGTGCCAAAACTGTAATGCCCGCCATAATTTATATTTAATTTTTAATACAGTTATCTATCATGAGTGATTATGTGGGCTGCTCCCTGTTATGTGGTTTCTCTGAAGACTGTGGGCTCTTTGTGCAGCCACGGGAGCATTACCTCGCCGGAGGCCCGCTCCGGAGGAGGGACCGAGGAGGCGCGGAGTCGCGGTTTTTCGCTTGAACTCGCAGAGCGGCCGGCGTCTGGGTGCTCCGGGTCCGGAACAAAGCCCGCTCTGTGCAGGGGGACTGTCTCAGCACACGGCGCGCTCCGGGATGCATACCTTCAGGACGGCTGGGAGAACGGATTAAAATGCTCCACAAGCGTGGCCATGCCATTCGGAGCAGCCTGCTTTCTTTGGCCGGCGGCGCGCTCCGAGGGGCGGGAGGGCCTCCCGGTAGCCGGGGGCCGGGCTGGCCGTGCCGCTGTGCACGGAAGGAATGACGTTTGGCTTGGGGATCAGACGGAGGGCCCGTGGGGACTTTCAGGAAGACGGGAGGCCGAGGGGGTGCGTCCTCGGAGGCTCAGACGCCCTGTCTCACTCCCAGGCGCTGGCCCCTGCCCGCCAGCGCCTGAGGCCAGGCCTGTTCCCACTCGGTCTGCGTCACCGGGGGCAGAGCAGTGCGTGGCCCGTGTAGCTGCTCAATTAAAGTTTCTGAGTTGAAAGTAGGAAGGAATCCATCCTGACGCCCATGGAGGGTGGAGTGCAGGGGTGTGCGGTCGAGGGGCTGGTCCGTGGCTTCTGTCTCTGCCCTCTTTCCTCCGGGACCCGTCGGAAGGGTCTCCTGCAGGGGCACTCAGGCACTGCCCCCGGGTTTCCCACCCCAGCCCTTTGGAGCTTGGAGGCTGCAGAGGCGGTGGATCTCCCCGCTCTCCCGCACCTGCACGCCCCCTCCCTTGTGGGTGAGGAAGAGTCAGAGATGAGACCAAAAGGGGGAACTTGTGAAAGCAGGAGGCTTACCGCCCTTCCGGTCCCGGGTGGTTTGGGAAAGATGAAAGTAAGATAAAGGACAGGCCAAAACCGGTGTGGCTCAGTGGATAGAGCGTCGGCCTGCGGACTGAAAGGTCCCACGTTTGATTCCGGTCAAGGGCATGTACCTTGGTTGCAGGCACATCCCCAGTGGGGGGTGTGCAGGAGGCAGCTGGCCGATGTTTCTCTCATCGATGTTTCTTCCTCTCTGTAAAATATCAATAATAAAAAACAAGATGAAGGACAGGTAGTTATGAACACGTCTCAGCGCTGTCAGATTACCAAGAAGGGCCCCATCCAGGTGACGAATATTCAATCGACAAGCAAATGAATGGACTGGGTTCTAAGTTACAAGTGGTTAGGACTTAATTGAATTTAAAATGTGGGTCAATAGAGACTTCCTATGGGCTTTGCTTACCTTTGTTTGAGGTCTTCATGCAACAGCAGAGAGGAAATGCCTGTTCGGGGCACAGGGTCGGAGGGGGTGACATCGGCACCCGGGCGAGAGGGCCGGGCACCGGGGGAGGGTGGTGGTGGCTCCTCTGTGGTCTGGGGGCCACGGGGAGAGGGAGAGCGACACGGGCCGGCCGTGTCCCCGGTGATTGTCCACACGGGCCCGGGGGCCAGTCCTCGCCGGTTTGGACTAATCTGAGCTGCTGAATGGAGAGGGTTGGCCCAAACTGCCCACCGTGTTTTCCTTCTCAAGCTGGTCCCGCCCCTGAACTGAGAGACACGCTTCTCGCACGCTCCTCACGGACAGAACCCCACTCTGTGTTCGCCGGTTAGTCCTGCTCCAGCTCTGAGGGGAAACCCCGCTGCCCGGTGAAGGCGTCCTTGGGGCGCCTCCTGGACGAGTAGGGACCCTTTAACCCCACCACCAGGTGAGAAGTGGATACACAGGCCTAGAAACTTCTAGAAGGGCATCCCATCTTGTCTCTCCACTTCCGCAGCGGAGCGTTCAGCTCCATGTTTCCTGCAGTGAGGATGTGTGTGGATGTACACTAATCTCTCTCTTTTTTCCCTTTCTGTTTTGTGGTCACTGGTAGGCTGTTGTCTTAGAATATCCATACCTCTATGCTACTTAAGAAAGTTCTAGAGAAATTACACAATTCATCATTTATTTATTCTTGGGCTTTAGAACACTAAGAGTACTTTTCTATGATGCACCATATAAAACGCCGGCTGATATAGTTGATGAGCAGGAAAACTGCTTTGATATACAACCGGTTTTAACTTATCAGGCATGTTATAGGATCATTCTAAAGTCTCACTTAGCTAACAGTGATAACGATATTGTTACTAATTAAGAAGTTACCGTGAACAGCCTGTTTACTGAGTACCAGGCCTTGCTGTTTTTTTTTTTTTTTAAATCAATCTTTATTGTTCATATTGTTACAAAGGTTCCTCATTTCTTCCCCCCTCCACCAGGTTCCCACCCCACCCTCCGCCCCCTCCCCATCCCCCATTGTCCTCATTTATAGGTGCACAGTTTATGTTCAGTCTCTTCCTCCCTCCCTTTCCCCGATAGTAAATCCCTTTTCAGATAGTAAATCAGTTACTTAGCATTTTCTCATATCAATAATACCACCACATGCCCAATGATACATTTCACACAAAAGACATTACCAAATAGGCAACCAGCCTCATCCAGGCCCCACCCAAGGCACTCACAGATCAACACCCCAGCACTATACTAACTCAACACATCCAGATCTA